AGATCCTCAGTGTCACCACAAATATTTGGCAGTGGGGAAAACCAGAGATGCTGTTTAGCTCTGTTTGGAATCAGATAGCAAATTGATTTTGGAGGCTCTCCCTGGAATACTTCGCATTTTTTTGGAAAACAAAAGGTTTTCAGAGGAAGCCCTGTTTTCATTATACACAAGATTGTTATGGGAGGAGAAGGGGGAGTCAATGACTACACAAAAGGATGGCGGAGTCAGAGTGTTTCTGGAATCCAGCGAATTATTCCTGGCCTGGGTTTTGTGTACTTTTCCCCAGGAACATGAACCTTCGTGCAAGAAGAGATTATTTATGAATTATTTAGTATTATTTGTTTGTTATGACTTCTTCACTGTTCTTGCACCACAGCAGATCACCTACCTGTGAAATAGGTCTAAAACACTGTGGAAGGGCAATGGCAGCAAAGGCACATCAAGAGCACCCCCAAAGGCTTTTGGGGTAACATCTTGGGATCTGTATCTGCTGGAAAAGGATGAAGCAGTTCGGAGTTTGTTCCAGTTGGTGCAGGGAGTTGAACTCAGAACTGGCTGTTATCTAGGGATGGTGCATAGGGACCGTCATCTTCATACTGAGTTCCTGTCCCAAATGGAGGATTAAGAAGAGAGGATTGTCAGCTGGCCTCTTGCCCTACCTTTCCATGAAGCCAGAGTTACACCCAAAGAGTGTCCCCATGTAAAGATCTGCACGCCACTATGCGGTCGGTTGTTGGCCATCACCTTACTACCATATTCTTTAGACCTTTTCCATGTACCTAAGGTGGTGGGGCAGAGACTGGGAAGCCATGGAAAGAAACATGAAATTAGGTTGTCACTGGGAGAGGGCCTTACAATGTCCCTCTTTTGGCCTACAGACACTTCCCAGAAAGGTAAATACAGCCTAAAGCACAGCTATGCTGCCTGTCCTTTTTTGCAGACACATTATTCCATGTGAAAAAGCTCAGCAGTGAAGCAGCAAATATCCCGGAGGTGACAAGTGAGTAGTTCCTCAGGGAGCAGGCTCGGCATGCACGGTATAGGCTGGTGAAGTCAAGTGGGCAAAGAAAAATGCATCGGGAAGGTGCTGACTGCCTTGATTACTTAAATGCTGGCTACACGCTGCACATCTAGATGCACGCACAAACTCAAGAAAAAAACATGGAGAGAAGAGGTAATGCAGCAAGATCTGTGGTCTGGACTCCACACAAAGGGCAAGTTCCCAGTTCAGAAACCAACCTGGTATCTGGGGTGAATGCTGAGGAAATGTGTGAATGGGAAACAGGAGAGGCCTTTTGCCCTCATCCCCATAATAAAGCTCTATAAACACCTCCTTTAGAAATGTTTCAGCCCAATTACTGTCACTGGCATGCAAAGTGAGGGAAAGGACTGTCATCCACATTGGCA